TCTCTGACTCATCACTTCTTTCTCCCAGCCAGCATACAGCTTAGATTTCCCCACCTAGTTTTGTTCTTCCCTGTCATAGGCTCAAAGCAGTTCTTTATTCATTAACCAATACAAGCAACACATAGACAGAAGTACCTCCCACATCACTGGCTTCACCCAACACCCGAGATGGACAGCTCCATTGGCCCAAACTTGGCAGCTCAGCTCCCACCCAGGCCTACAACCAGGCCTGCAGTTGACCTACCCTAGCATCTGCCATATCTTCCTGAGCTCATGAAGAAACTCTTCCTGGTGAAAGACACCCACAGAATCTCTATGACTCCTGGCAGCTGTGGGATATCTGAAAAGAGTTTTGGTGAGTGTCCAAAAATAATGGTACCAGAAACAAGAGGCTTTGAACCTAACTAAAGACTCATTGAGAAACCAAAGACTCATGTCGTTTGCAAGTAAAGTCAATTGGACAAAGGAGATACTGCATGACACACCCTGACTGCCAAAGCCACGAGGACAAATGAAGAGGTGTTAGAGAGGTGGGAAAGATGAAGGAGTGGAATCGGTTTTTTGTTTCATGTTGTTTGGTTTGGTTTGTTTTTTTGTTGGCTTTGTTTTTATTTGTTTTCTTATTATGATTTGGCTTATCTAGATTTGATCTTTGAAAACTTTCTTTAGGTGATGGTGTTGCAGTAGTGAGGAGGGTATGGGGAGGCTAAGTTGAGGAGAATTAGGGGACATGATGTAAAACTTGCAATTAATCAATAAGGAAACTAAATAAAAATTAAACAAAAGAGAAATTTTTATGAACAAAATTATTCTTTTTGGAACAGAAAGTTAAAAAGAAATCCAAAGTAAAAAGAAATTCAGAATATTTCCTATGTTTGGAGAAAGTCTTGATGTGAACCTAATGGAGCATATGCTTCAGACTCTTAAATCAAACAGGTCAAAGGCCTGAAAAGAACCCAGAAGTGTAATTGTGTAGTCTAAAGTGGTGTATTGTTCTCAAAAAGTAAGATACTTTGAAGAATTTTCCTCTCTACATTTCTCTCTATTATAATTTTATTTGTCCAGTGATAATAAAGTGGACATAAATATATGTTGGATCTGACTGAGGTGAATGATATAATTAGGTTAATACATGTGACCCACAATCCATTAATTGTACACTTAGGTGTGGCCACCAAGATTTCACAGCCTTTAGGTATGGCTATTTTACATTGTGGCTGCTTTGTTGTCTGATTACTTAACTCAGAGGCAGATTTAGTTCCAGCCAGTTTCCAGTGTTAGAATCTGTGTCTCTCCTCCCTAACTGCTTACAGTGTTCTTTTCTGCTCTCACTACTGCCACACTGTGTAGTCTGATCTGTCTAAAGAGGACTCTGTGCTTTGTGTTCTTACTTTGGCACAAAATTTTCTCATTCAATACTATCTGGCAAGCATTAGGATGACATCTTTTTATAGGGCACTACATATATACACATTTTTTGCTATTATGTAGCATTCAAACTACCTCCAAAGAATGAGAACACTAAAATCAGTAGTGGAATTAGGTGATGCTCAGAATGCCTGCCCCCTGGTGGGCATGCAGGGCATAGTCTCCTGTAGGAAGGACCTAGACTGTAACAGGTGCCACTCCTGGGATTAGGTTACATTTCGTAAAAAAGACAGCACAATTTTGCATAAGTAATTACATCTCTAATCAATCTGACACACAATGACTTTGACTTTGAGTTTATTGGAGTGATTATCTGTAGCAGGCCATCTAAACATGTTATTTTCTTGAGATATTTTTACAATTGATTTGGCTCAGTACTCCCTATCTGGCTCTTCTTACAACAAAACTTTTGTCATATTTGCTGTGGAGAGGAAAAGGAAATGCTGTCTTTATTCCTCACAGCATCCATCAAACTGTGCACCCACGGTGCTGTTTGATTATGTCATTCAGATTTTAGCAGTAAAGTAGCATATGATTTCTCAAAAACTGAGGCCTTCTGAGAGTTTCCTTTAAAACATGCAAAAGTGTTGGAGTTGTCTCAAACTAAAACAGTTTGTGTCCATTTTTTGTTTATATCTTTATACTCTTCTTTTTGTAGTGGTCACAAATTTCAAGCCCTAGAAAGCACGGGTCTTGCTCTGCATAAGATCAACAAGCTTTGAGAATCAATCCTAGAAGAACAAGAAAGCCAATGACTGAGAAAGCAGCACATGGAAACTGTGAAATTGAGTTTCTCTTTGGCCCCTAGGGGGCACTGCTCGAATAGGGAAAGGGCTTTTATGCAGATTAGATCAAAGACACCAAAACCTATTTTCTCTACTATTTAAATATTTGTTTTGACTGAACATATATTAGATAGTAACAGAAAGATTCTCAGACACCAGCCACAGGCCTATTGCCAACCAAGATTTAAGATTCTTACTAGTTCAATCAGGGTTGCTGTGGAGAAGGTTTCTAAATCCCACTGTCTCCCTCTCCCACTTCCCAGGCTGTATTCACTTCACAGGAATCTCCAGGAAGAGTGAGCTGCTTCTTGTTCTCCTCGATGACCAAGCTGTGCATCCTGAGGCTCAGATTAGCCCTGCTGCTCACTGTCACTCTGCTTTAGAGCCCCATCCCCAGAAAGAACGCTGTGCTGTTTCACTCCGACCAGAGACCTCCTTTCAGCTGAGCTGCCCACACAACACTGATGCTGCTGGAGGATGCAGAGCCCAGTTGGTGCCCCAGCCTGATGGCTGCCTCTGTGCATCTGCAGCAGCTGCTCTGGAGCTGAGGGGCAGCAGCTACTCATCTCTTGTCCTTTAGGGTATTTTCCTGAAACTACAACACCCTCATCTGCATCTCCAGTGCTTCCTGAAGGAAGTCAGTCTGTCTCAGTTGTAACGGACATTCAAACTGAGTGTGAGAAGGGTGGAAACTCCTTCTACCTGAGGATCCTCTCACTATGGGACTGAGGTAGCTGGGTTCTCCTCTGCCCTGAGTCACACGTGCAGAGCTGGACATAAACCACCTGAAACTACAGAGTAAGAGACTAGGGTCCCAACCTCAGACATTCTCGAGGAGTTGCCACGTTCCGTAAATTCAACAGCACAGAGAAAATGGAATCTTGGAAAATGCTACATTCCTATGGGATAGATCTGAGTTGCCATGGTCTTGTTTCTCATTTTGCAAAGGAAAGATCAGATTCTTAAAGGACAGCATTTATACCCAAGTCAAAATTCAACCTCAATTACCCTTCAGGATTCTCTTCATACTGGAGGACATTAGTTGCATCAACACCATTTGAGACAGTGATGGGCTGAGATGGCGTAAAGTTGGCTGTGAGCTATTTTTGAGGAAATTGTATGTTTGCTTTTCATTACAAGTCTCATTTCTCAAGCAGTCATTTTTATGGTGAATCCTTCAAAATGTATTCCACTATTGTTTTGAACTCAAGTGCATTGTCCCCTGCATTCACCATATGCAAAAGCACAGCAGCTCCGCTGCCCCTGTCACTCTGCAGGCAGCACGCCTACCTTAACTTCTTCAATCCACTTGCTACTTATGTGGTCATTTAACAATCAAACAATTATATCACAAACCTTTGTTATAATGGGAGTGTCTCATTTGTTTGAATGCATTAATAATAGCCTCAGAGTACCCAAAATGTTTCAGTATCATCTTAAAAAATAGAAATTTAAAAACACTCCCTTTGGTTTAATTTAAGACAAAGCCTGGATTTGAATTCTTTGCTTCTCCCTTCCCTTGACTTCTGTATCTGTCTGTTGTATGAGTCTAATTCTGTGTCCCCCTGAATGCTATCTTATATTGTTTGTTCCTATATCTGTGTAGGTTTTTCTCCAAGAAAGGGCTCTGATCTATATTTATTGAACAGCACAGAAATCATCACATGGGAAAGGAATGGAAGAAGATGAAGAGAGAAATGAAAAGAGCTTACATAAATCTTTAATTGCATTCACAAAGGAATAAGTCATTGACTGACAGGCACCAAAGGGCCCAGATAACAAGCAAACAAATATCATTAAATAATCTCTATATGCTGCCTTTAACATTTATAGCAGATATTATATTATAAGATTGATTTCAACCTATGTTTGCTGCTTCTAGCAATTGCTACCATAACATAAATACACATATGCTTCACCCTGGCTCAGGAGCATGGAAGTGTACAGAGTTGAGGATTAAGGCTATGCATTCACTTAGGTTGTAAAGCTTGATTACAGTGGAACCCAAGACAAGAAACTTTGGTTGTCACAGTGTTCTCCTAAATGCAGGCTAAATACTGAGTACATGCTAGGGTATCAGCCTTAAGTCTTAAGGAACCTTAAGGTATGTTAATAATTCTTATGCAGGGTCCACCGAAAGTTCCAGTCTCATAGAGTGCAAGAGATAATTTAATAATGATGTATTTGCACAACACATATTTTATCTATTTCAAGATTAGTAAATCATTAAAAACAGTTAGATGATTTTTACTTTGCATGATTGGAATGCCTCTCTTTTTGCTTAATAAAGTTTTTTATTTAAGGCAGGGGTAGTGTTTTAAGAAAGGATTTCCCTGTGTAATCATGACTTTCCTGAAACTCACTTTGTAGACCACGCTAGTCTCAAACTCACAGAGCTCCATTTCCTTCTGCCTTCAGGATTCTGAGATTAAGGGTGTGCACCAGGACAGCCCGGCCAGTAAAGATTCTTTACTCAGAACACACAACTGTTTCCTGACATGATTGTTTAGCTGTTTCTCTTTATATATTCTCCAGTTACTTGTGATACAATTGAGACATTTCTCTTCACAAAGAGAAAATTCTTTTTCCTCAAAGGACATTCACACTGCCTATAAATTCAGGGTCTTCTCAAAATATGCCACAGCCCCTCCCACTGTGCTGCACCCAGACTCTCAGTCAGGTCTGGTGTGGGAGGAGCTTCAGTCTGAGAAGACAAGGAGAGAACTCAGTAGTTCTGGCATGGCAAGGTTCCTGGGTGGGGCTCACTTGTTGCAGGAGGAGGGGCACTTCAACAGCCATCCTGACACCACAGCCCAGGGGTTGGTTACTTACTTCTGTCTCCAGCAGTCAGACAAGCACCATGAAGAGGCTGCTGTGCTCTCTGCTGGGACTGCTGTGTGCCCAGGTTTTCTGTGAGTCTGGCTGTCCATGTTTAGAGGACAGAGAGGATTCTGTTCAACACATAGAGGGGTAGGGAAGCAACTCAGTGGTCCTGCAAAGCTCACACCTTCTCAAAGGACATGGGGGAATGTTCAGGATTCTGTGGATGCTCAGTAACCTCCACCTGTGTCTCTTTCTCTCTTTCTAATCAGGGGTGAAAGGGCAGCAAGTGAAGCAGAGTCCTGTATCCTTGGTGCTGCAGGAGGGAGAGAGCACAGAGCTGCAGTGCAACTTTTCCACCAGTGCAAGGCAAATGCAGTGGTTTTACCAAAGCCCTGGGGGACACCTCATCAGCCTGTTCTTCAATCCTTCAGGAACAAAGCAGAGTGGAAGACTGAAGTCCACGACGGTCATCCAGGAACGCCGCAGCTCTTTATACATTTCCTCCTCTCAGACCACAGACTCGGGCACTTATTTCTGTGCTGTGGATCCACAGTGCTCCCCACACACCTGCAGCCAGTACACAAACCTTCAGCTGGGTGGGTGTGGCCTTCCCCTGTTATCAGACATCAGATTTCCACAAGAGAACATCTGCTTGATTTAATATCCCTGCTTGGTATAGGCAGAGTTTTGAGTTTTAACCCTCAGGTAAGCTTTTGGCCATGTAAATTAAGGATTTAGCTTTTTAAATTCTCAATATACACTCCTTTCTGATGCATAAATGTCCATCTTAGAACTAACAGAGAAGCTGATGGAAAGACTGAACCAATGTCAGGTAATTTGCTGTGGACAGGCTCAGGGTTATGCAGAGAAAACAAACTGCAGCAACAGCAACAACATCAAGTCAAAGAAGATACAGGATGTACAGACAGCTGGATGTTCTAGCTTCCTTTCTGTTGCTGTGATAAAGCTCTCAGAGAAAAAGCAACTTAGAAGGTGAAAGGATTTATTTAAATTTCACTGCCAGGCCATAGTCCATCATTAGTGGTAATCAAGGTGGAAACTCAAACTGAAGATTGAAACAGAAACCCTGGGGAAACTCTGTTGCTAGCTCCCTTACAGGCTCACACTTAACTAGCTCCTAATATGACCCAGGCCACTTTCACACAGAATGGTGTTACCCACAATGGGCAGGTCTCCATTCAATTCATCAGTTAAAAAAACTTAGTGCAATTTTATTGAATTTATAGAAGACGTTGAGGATATATAAGGTATTTAATCTTCTAATTATTTATTTTTAAGTTATCTTTTTATATATTTAACTTTATTCATAATTGCTTTGAAGTTTTCTAAACAGAGATCTCAATGTCTTTAAGAAAATAAAGAGAACATCAGCTATGAGAAAATGTTCAAACATATATCTTGTTCAACTAGGCTTAAAGAGAATATCTAAAAAGTCTTATAACTCAATAAAAGAAAATGAGTGACTCATTCTTAAATGAGCCAAGTGAGCCGACCCTGTGCCAAGGAATGTGTACGTGGTAAGGACAAATGATTAGGATGTAGTTAGTGGCTGTGCTGGTTTAGTAAGTGGTGGTTGTAGGCTCTGCTCCGCGATCCATGACTTTACAAGCAGATGGAGGCCATTGTAAGAAACACAATGAGTAACAATGCAGAGTAGTGGAGTCTAGTCATTAAAGATAGGTCTACAATATAAGTCCTGTACTTAAGACTCAGTAAATACTGAAGAAAAGGGGAAGAAAGACTATAAGAGTCAGAGGATCAGAGAGTTAGCTGTGAAATTGTGTATCCTCAGAATGTCAGAAGCCACACACATGAAGACTCACCAACTTGGCTCTCTAAACGTGAGTCAAAGAAGAAAGCAATAGGCATGTTAAGGTTCGTGTAGAAAGAGCAAGAAGCATCAATTCTAGCTCATGAGCCACTGGCAGCCAGGGAATTCTGATAGTTGGAGATATAGTCATTCCCAGAGAAGAGTGTACCAATTGGTTATCCAATACTTAATGGTCAGCCCTGAAAACATACATACATGTAACATTATAGAGATGAATGTATTTTATTTATATTTAGGAATAAATATGTTTGTAGATGCATGTGTAACAACCATTAATTAAGAAGAGGCCATAAAGTTGAAAGAGAGAAAGAAGGGGAATATAGGAAGTTTTGGAATGAGGGATTGATATGAGTATATTATAATTGAAAAAATGATAAGAAGTGAGTGAAAGAAAAATAAACTTTATGGTTTAATAATTGCCATGTGTCCAGTTTATGTAAGGGGTTAGTAAAATATGACTCATGTGAAATCCAAACATTTGCCTATTTTATACGCTTTATTGTAAATAATCACCATTATTATCTACTTTTTCTTATGAATGGTTTCTCTCAGTCTCCAGAATGACATAGTTTTAGGCACAATAGAAAGAATAGGGTACCATGAGGATACACGGAAAAACTATGCTATAACTGACCTCAACATAGACACAATCAATTTCCATATCAAAAATATTGCACCAGAGAAAGGTTTCATGCCTTTCTTTCTTCAAGATGTAGGTGTCTAAACTCAGGAAAATGTTGAGTGTGAAGCCCTTATATTTGTCCTCAGAGGGACAGTGCTGTTTCAGGGCAGATGATGGCTGCTGTTCCTCCACATACTCCTCAATAAGCTATAGATTATTGTTTAGATAAATAAATCATCTTCTGTGTTGCTTAAGTTTCATTAGAGAACAAATGCTTGAATTCATCTAGCCTATATTTATCTATATTATATCTGTCTTGAGTTCATAATGTTGACAAATCGGAATTTGCAAGTAAACACTATGGAGATGCTTGCTATCTTTGAAGGTCTGGGCCACATTAACTCTCTAACATACATCTAATGTTGTCAGCCACACTTGGTTCAATCTCCAGTCACACTGATATAACCTGAGCCTAGAATTATGTTAGGTGTTCTATCCACTTTTACTCACAATTTGAAGCCAGTTTATTTTTTTCCTTCATCAGGATCCTCTCTAACTGGATTGGGAAGCAGAGTCCACATCCTTCTCTTCATTATCTTGTCTAGACGCACAGGTGTCCTTGGTAGGCTTCAGTTTTCTGTTCGTGAATGATGATTTCCAGAATGAAAATTAGAAAAGTGTGTGTCATGAAAGACACCTGAGCACTACCCAATAGTAGGCAGTAAGGCTCCCAGAAAATACACAGAACCTAGACCTCATCCTAGTTTAACTTTATCAGTTCTCAATCATTTGACATTTTAATATCAAATAATAATTTCAGAAATAAGCAGCCTGTTCATTTTAAACCGCCTGTTCTTCCTGGTAGTATCAGAGATTCTCACCAGTATTTGTAAGCATCTTTGTCCAGCATCTCACGGCTGTCCATGAATTTGTGGTCTGTTCTCACTGAGCAGCCATCTGAGTTATCAAAATAACTCTTCAGATATTATAGTGCTGTGTGGTGCTGCAACTGAGATATGCAAAAGAAAAAGCACATGTGCTTTACTTCAGTAAAACAATTAAACCTTTTAGGAGGTGCATTTATACATACAGGAAAAACATAATATGTGTGTGGTTCAGCAATATATGTGATTTGAGGTTGCAGGGCATTTTGAAATGAATTCTCTATTGATTATGGATGTAGTATGTGTTGGATAGATGTCTACCTAAAAGGAGTAAAGAAAAACAAGTAGACCCTGAAGTGTTAAAAAAAATAAGTAACAAAAAAATTCCTAGGATAATGAAGGATAGTCTGTTCAGATAGAATTTTATTCTCTCTCCCTCTCCCTCTCCCTCTTTCCCTCCCACTTCTCCCTCTCCCTACCCTCTCTCTCTTCATATCTAAAATGTCTTTCCATTTCTGATCTTTTTGCCTCTACCCTCAAATGCTGGAATTATAGGTGTGTGCACCATGAGCAATTTACACATGCTGGCAGCCAAACCAGTATCTTGGAGGTGCACTCTACTGACTGAACTACATCCTCAGTCCTTTATGAAGACTTTATGGAGCATGGACCATTGCCTGCTGTTGGACTGTAATTGGACCTATAATGATGTTACATATGCAACACGATCCTCTCTGTCCTGTAGCTTCCTTATGGTCTCGTAATTCCTATTATTTACAGAACAGAGGCTCTCTGTTTTAGCGGAAGCTGTTTTATTTATTCTCCACTTTTACTTGATGATTTGATACCTGGTTGATATCAACATATGAAGCCAAACTGATTTTAATATTTGTATTTCATCTATGTAATTACATATGATGAAGATATAAAATGCTTTTTCAAATTTCAAGATGAGAGCAGTCAAAATGCTGCATTCCTAAAGGTGTCTGTCCTGTGCAGGTTGCAGAATGGTTTCTATCCTCTCTCACCGATCTGAATATGATAGCCTTTCCAGAGTAGATCATTCTACTAACTTCTACTTTCTTTTCTATGGGAATACTTTTAGATACTTTTAGTTGATCTGGTCTTTATTTTATAAAGATATTATGAAATTTCAATTAATACAAATCCATCATTTTTAAGATCATGCACACCATGGAAATGTGAACAATTATAATAAAATTTAAGTTCTCTTAAGTGAATGGAGCACCTGTTATATATGTTTCACTTGTTCCTGACATTATCTCATAATAGGACACTATATTCATTGTGTGTCTTGATATATCTTACTAATATTTGCAGTAAAACTGGAATGTTCTGGGCATTAACAGATGGCTACATGATCAAGTATGCTTCATGTATTGATGCTCACCTTGCCTGTCCATGCCATGGATTTGTCTGACTTAAGCTTGCATTGTCCTTTTGAATATTACCACAAAACTGTGGTTTCATGTGTGCAGCTGCACTGCTGGATCCAGAAGTCATTATTTCCTTGTAGTTGTTCACGACAGATAACTCCAACACACATTCTGCTTTTTTGTCCCCACTGATTTCTGAACCTTGGGAGGAGGAATCAACTATGTGATATAGATATTTCATCATGGCTGGCCATTCCAATGTCTCTTATTCTTTGCATATTGACTGATATGAGACACAGTGTTAATCATCTTGACTTTATAATGATGTCAGGTATGGGTTTCATCTTCTGGAGTATTATCAGAGACCTGTTGGTTACTACAAAGATTTTTGTACAACTACTGCAAAGGTAGGCTTATCTTTCCAGGCCAGTTCTTATTTTGGCTCACAGTGTTCACAGCCGGGTGAGACAAATGATTGCTTTTCTCCGCTGGTAGCATGCATAACACATACCAGCAATATGAAAGCCATCCAGCAGGGATGAAGTCTCCAGGTCAGTACTATCTTACTTTGTGCATGTTCTATGATGCAGATATGTGATATCTTCAGCAAGAGGTTGTTAGTATCAAATTCTGGAGGGAAGCCAAGGACATTTTTATTGCCTTATAATGTTCAACAAGAATTGTCTGTAGCCCGGCTTCCATCCAGAGGGCCAATGGAGGGGTGAGTTTGCTTCGGGCCCGCGGCAGGGGCCCGGTGAGGAGGAGCTCGGATTTTCCCCGACCCCATAGACTCCCAGGTCACCCTGCAGTGCTGGTTCCACCCTGCTAAGCTCTCCCGCCTGCCATCCCAGCTTCCATCCAGATACAAATTGCTATACTTCTCCCTTCCCACTGGGGCCATAAAATTTCCCCAGCTCAGCTGCCTTACACGCTGGGCCTGGGCTGTAGGTGCATCCCAGAAAGAGAGAGTGCCTGTGCTTCAATAGCCTGCCTGAGGAAAGGTGGGCATTCTGTCAGTGAAGTCCCTGCCCACCAAGGGAACCTGACCCAGTACCAGAAGTTCCAATAGAGAGCATTTGAAGGAAGAGATGGGCAGATGCCAAGGCAAGACCTCGTCCAACAATCTGAAAAACAACATGAAAACACCAGATCCCAACGACCCTACAATAGAAGGACTTGAACACCTTAGTCCAGAAGAAGTGGAAAAAAGTGCCATTATGAAAGCAATAGAGTCCCTTAAACAGGATATGAATAACTCCCATAAAGAACTGGATGAGAAATACAACAAAAAGATTGAAGAAATGAGTAAAGAAATGGATGAGAAGTATAACAAAAAGTTCGAAGAAATGAGTAAATCCGTGAATGATACACTGGGAAACCAAGAAAAAACAATCAAACAAGTAATGGAAACAGTTCAAGAATTGAAAACTGAAAAGGAGGCAATGAGAAAACACAAAACGAGGGCCGGATGGATATGGAAAATCTAGGTAAATGAACAGAGACTACAG